ATATACTATATACTATATATACTATATATACTATGCAGTTGCAGGCGGCATCCCCCACGAAAGAGGCATCTCCTCGCTCATCGAATGTTGCCGCGTGGCCCAAAGATTGGGGAAAAATACCCTGCATCAGAGTCAGAGCAGCAGAAACTCTGGTGATTCTTCGAAATGTTCGATATTCCTACGACTGCCTTTTCCTATGTTTGCGGCATTGGGTCTGGCAGTCCAAGGACAAGGTGAAGAGCGAGGTCAAGAGCCGCTCGGCAACTGATCGGCTCCGGGAGTGGTGAGCATTGCATGGCACTCCAGGCATCGCGTCATCAGCTCAAGACGGACTCAGCTACATGGCCTGGAATGTTGAATTTCTCTCCAGCTTGACATGACATGACACGCATGACATGACAGTGAAGATACATGCTGTCGGTGCTGAGACTGTATCCTCGTGGTCCCAAGGCGACATCACAGATGCAGAGAGCCCGCTTGCAAAAGCGAGAGCAAAAGTTTCTCAACCGCATGGGGTAGCGACAATCAATGACACCTTTTGCTTCTGCATGAGGTCTTTGAGTCTCCGTCTCTCGCAGTTTGTAGGGTTTTTGGTTTGTGTGTGTGTGTGTGTCTGTATGTGTCTATGTACTCGTCAGTATGAGAGTGTTCTTCGCCTTGCAGAGTTTATGCCTGCCTACCTACTGCCTCACTCTCTCTCTGTCTCTGTCTCTCTCTCACTCTCCCTCTCTCTGTCTCCCTACCTCTCTTCTCGCTTTCTCTTTCTCTCCCTGTCTTCCTGTGTCTGTGATTGTGTCCGCGTGATTCGTTTGCCTGCTCGCATGATATGGTCGCATGCTTGACCAAGAACAAGCGTCGCTCCCCGCCATCCTTCGTTGCGGACGTGGCTTCTCAGCAGGCATTCATATCGCAAGCGGCGCCCCTCTCAATTCCTTTCTTTGCTGTGCCCAGTCTCAGATCTGCCCTGATCTGAGGAGCGTCTGCTGACGCGGCCCGTGATGCCCAGCAAGCAGAAGGACGGGTTGATGGTGTGGCACTGCTCTGCAAAGCCGCAAGCCTTTTGCAGGACGTGTTGCAGAAGCAGAAGTCCAACAACAGCGTTCAGGTCTCGAAACAGCTTGAGACCAGACTCGAAGCTTCGCTGGTCTACGCCTGCGCTGTGCAGGCTGAAGGGAGAGAGGAGGAAAGCCCGGAAGCGGCCGCTTTCTCGGCACATTGCTCTTTCACCACGCCAGATCTCTTCGCTCAGGCTTGCGAATCTCCAGATGTAAAGCCGGAGAGGTCCTTCACAACCATTATGGAAGAGGCGCGAACGCGGGAAATTGAGGCCCATTATAGGACCTCAGGATGTGACTGTTCCTGTTTCAGATGGACTCTGAAATCTTACCGCTCTCCGACGATGCCCTCGGACCTCCGGAGTCATCCTCTCAGATACGGAAGGGCTCGCAGAGACTTCGCAGAGTGTTTGAGCGCTTGGAGGCCTTCGCCGCAGCCTGGGGGACTCCTCTGCTTCATGAACTCGACGGCTTGCTGGAGCAGCGACCCCAAAATAGCCTCAGATTTTTAAGCAACAGCGTAAGAACGACTTTGCAGGTGGTGGTCGACCTTCAAAGGTCGAGATGCCAGAGGACAAGGTGCGACCTGGGCTGGTTGAGGTCTGCAACTTTCATCTCAGCTTGTGATCTGTGGTACTGTAGCATGTGGTAGCCATGGCAGGTGACAGGAGATTGGTCTTTGTCGTAGTGGCTGGTGTTGGGCGACGGCGACAGACTGCTCCTGGCTTTTTTCTGTCACTTCACACAGAAGCTGTGCCGATTGCACGTGCAATGCCTACATGCACTTTTAATGCGAATCTTTTCTTTGGCAGGAGCACGTTTTGAGAGTTAGACATGCCGCTGATCACTGTTAGGTTCAAAAAGTGTTCACGGAAAGGAAAGACCGCGTCTCACTTCCAGAAGTGAAGCTGGACTGCTCGCCGGAACTGTGTTGCAAGGAGCATTTTTCTCGGCGATAACGCCAGGGTCTTGTCGGGTCCCAGCGAGCGGAGGATGCTTCCTCGGTTCATGTTCATGACTCCATGCTCTGGCTCAGCCGCAGGCACCTAGCTGCCCAGCCGATGCCCATTTTTTTGGGGGGGGGCTTTGATCGGGGCTCTGATCGCAGGAGGATCTTTCGGCCCTCCATTGAATGGAGGGCTTTGCTCGCAGCCTGGCGCGTTTCCCCGCGGTGCAAAAAGGCTGCGAGCCGCCTTCGCCATTGGGCGATCCATGCCATGCCTGTGTCAGACCACTTGCTCGCGAACTTCGCAGCCGCTTCGGCTTTGCAAGAGCTCCGTTAGCAAGCACATGCAACAGCCAGGTGTCCTTGGGCTTGCCAACTGTCAGCATGCTGTTGAAGGGCTTAGTGTTCCCGTTCCGAGTGCCAAACAATGCATCAGACTGGCTAGCGGCTAGCGGTAGCTTGCTAGAGCGAATGTGGTGCGTGGCCGCGACGTCTTATGCTTGGCTGGACGGGAGAGCTGCGAGTAAGGGAGATTGTCTGACCCGCACCCCTGTGCATGTCAACTTCATGTCGGTGATGCTGTATACACACGTGAAGTGATGGCTGCTTGGAGCTGTCTGCTAATTTCTTAAGGGGATTAATGATTAGTGGGGGAGTCCTCCGTTGTCTCCATAAGCTTCTCTGCTCGGCTCATCTGCCAGGACGTAGAATGCCCAAGGCAGGAAAGTTTTCGGTGTCAGTGCTCACCAGTGGCCTGAATTGTTGTGACTCCATGCAAAGTTTTTTGGTTCCGATTATGTTGTCGCGCGACGTTTATTCCACGTTATTGCTGCAGTACCGGAAACTCGTTAAAGCTCGATCAGAGTCCACTTGAGCAAGCTTGTGAGGTGGTTACTTCGAGGCGATTGCCTGTGTACACCAACAAGGGCCAGAAAGAGGACGACAGGTTCAATGCCTTCCACTGCAAGAGGTGCTTCCGTGCTAGCATTGTCGCTCATGTTGTCTTTTCCTACTTCTGCCGCTCTCTCCGATGTCTTTGCTCCACAGCTCGCCAAGGCCGAGCCATTCCCAAACCCAACCCAGAGTTAGGCTTTGATGCAACTCTGCCAGGCTTGTTCACCATGTCGGCACTTCCAAACCACGGTTTTGCACTTGTTTTGGTCTCTTTGTGTACACGGAAGGAGCAACACTTAGCCTGCCCAGCTAGGGACCCGAACAACGTTCGTGTGACCCTGACAGGTGTCGTACACACTTGGTGACGACGGATGCTGATCTGGCGAACATCCCGCGGAGAAGGCCATGCACAAAAGCTGCCAGTCGCAGATGTGTCACTTCGTCATGATAGAGTTGTTGGCAAAAGGTTGTGCTCCCATGCTCGAGCTTCTTGGTCCTATCTTCCTGGGCTCCGTGTAGTTTCGCGTCGAAGCTCGGAAGCCCACTCTCAACAGCCCTGCCGCGGTGCAGCGCATCGCAGTTTGATCAACCGGCCAAGTTTAGAGAACCCGCGCGCCGGTGGGGAGTGGAGCACCGGCGGAGCACGAGCGCAGCGCAAAGTCTTTGAGACATGGACGGAGAGAGGCGATCGGTGTGCGGCAGGGGTAAACGGGTCCCTGGCAGGACCGATGGTGCCATGGTCTTGGATGCCCGCCTGCAGGCCTGAATCATAGCCAGCTGTCCCGCACCACTGACCACCCACGTAAAGGTGATCAGCCTCTACACAGTCAAACGTGAGGTGGGGAACTGAGTGCCCGGGACCCAGTCCTGTAGCAGCATTCACGCGAAGCTGCCCAGGGAAGTCGAGTCATTCGCCGCGAGAAGGGTGCAGAGCGGCAGCAGCCCGGCTTGCTTGTAGCGGGTCGCATCAAGCAACAAGCCCAAGCACAGCTCTCGTACATGTGCAGTCAGGTATGTGCATGCGGCCTCCTGAGTTGGGGTAGCGCTGAATGAGTGCTTTTAGAGCTCTCGTGGTTCCAGGCCTGCCCTTCATGTGACCAAGACGTCGGCTACACATCGAAGCCCCACGAGGAGCGGAGCGGTTCGGCCGTCGAAGCTTTGCTTTTCTGTGCGGAGTGCAGGCTGACCTGGAGCTCGTGTATTTGTCCGACACGGCAGTCACAGTGCCCTGGCACAGGACAGGCCGTGCATAGCGGCTGCACATGAGACTGTACCGAATCGATGGCTTGCAGGATGAAGTCGCCCTTCACTTGCAAGGTGCTGCGGTTTTGCATCCGGTAAAATGTAACATTGACGACTCCATGCTTGAATGTTGGCCTTGGCCAGAGGTGAGTACTCGTTTTCCATGCAGGTGTGCGGCTACATCTGCCAGAGTCAGGGGCAGCTGGAGTTTCACAGGCAACGGCCGATCAGCGGAGTGTGAGACTAAGTTTCCATTCTGAACCGTAGAGAGGGCTTCATGTTTGCAGGAAGCAGAAGCAGCACACCGAAGAAATGGAAAAGGAGCAAGAGGCCTCTTGCACTGTCTTCCGGAAGAGTTTCCGTTTATCAAGCCGACTGCAAATATTATGCAAGCGTTGACCCCAAACGGTGAACGAGCATCGAGCAGTTCAATCCCTGCACCTTACATGCCCAAGAACCATTTCAGGAGCGTCCGTGACACTCCCACGACCACAATATGGCATAAGAGTTCGAATTCGCACCATGCGCACCAAGGACGACTGCAAGCGAACATTCCACACCCCCTCGGAGACGAGCAGTAGTTGAATAGCCCGGCCCTGCCGGGGCTTGCGAGATTCCGCTTGGCATTGGATGTCACCATGAGTCTGGCGTAGACAGAACGCGATTTGCCGGACGCGCGCCGTGCAGCAACGAAATCCCTTTGCAGTAAACATTACACTATAATATACGGTAATATACTATAATTTGCCATAAGCTGTAATGGACTATGATATGCTGTGAAATTACATGTAACAACCCCAGAGTGACTCGATGACTCGAAAGCTGCCAGGCAGCCAATGAGCTGAAGCCCATCATCGTAGGCTGAATCTGATCCCGGGTGTGTCTCGAGTTCTCCCGTGCTGGACAGTGTGGAGAAATCTGCCTGACTGGAGCAAACAACGTCCTGCAGGCTTTCGAGAGTTTTTTCATCTATCCCCAGGGCCCGGAACCCTAAATCCTACGCCCAAGCTCCCAAAGAACCGTAAGCCCAAAACCCCAAAACCCTACACTCAAAACCGCCATATCTCGGCTCTCAGCCCGGGGTCCTAGAGCCCCGGCGGTTCCCCGGCGGTCCGGGCACGTGCTGAGAGGAAGCCTCTGCGGGCAGTCCCACTGGCATGGCTTAGGGTTGGGTTTAATGTGAATAGGGTTTTGGGCTCTTTTCTTCTCTACCAAACTTCTGCAGGCTGGTGCTTGGCCTCCTGTATTTGTTTTGAAACGAGCCAGGCAGATGATAGATGCGCCCGTGGATATGGCTCCTCGCCGGGGCCTGAGACCATCAAGTGGCAGACCGGTTGCTGAAGCTTAGACTTCAACTAAGCCCTAAACCCTAAACCCTAAACCAAAACCCTAAACCCTAAACCCTAAACCCTAAACCCCCTTAACGCCTAAAATCCAAACCCAAGCATCCCGAAGGAGACTCTCCAGCCTGTCCAGAAAGCCCTCCGAGGCTGCAATCAGCACCCTTGTGCCGCCAGTGGCCGCATGGGTGCTCGTATCCAAAGAAGGACGGGAGATGGCTCACTCCATGTTACGCCAGAGAAGTTCTATGCCGGCAGAGCCCAAGGCCCTAGGCGTTCATCGCGTGAGCGTCGCGTGAGCGACTTGAGTGCAGGAGACATAACTCTCCTGGGTCCATTGGACTTGGACCCATCCTATAATCAAGCAGCTTGGTGGAAGATTGGGCCTCGAACAATCTCCGGACGGTGTTTTCTTTCATACCATGATGTTGATGCCGCCAGCATCGGAAGCATGCGTTGAACGCTTGCCTCGGTCGCAAGATTTCTTGCTTTCTTGCTGCAAGTCGAGCGACATGTCATGAGCAAGCGGTTGCATGCCCTGCGCTCAGCTTTGATGCCAGGCCCCGAGAATAACGCTGCGATCGTCCGACTCCAATCGGATTGCTCAGGGCCGGTCTGTTTGCTAGCCGTGGCGGGGCTTTGTCGTAAGGGCCAGCCCCCTGAACCTTACCTGCAGCCCCATCCGTTGTAGAAAACCGGGTCTCAGAAGGCGGCGTTGTTGAGCACAGTGCTGAGGTCTGGTGTGAGGCTTTGGGACATCATCGTGAGGGACGGAAGTTCTGAAGCTTTCTTATCACGAGCAAGAAGAAAACGCCTCCGATTGGGTGATGTTGTCGACTTTGCAGGACTTATACGGAGGGAATGCCCTCGTCCTGCAGACGCCCTCGGGGGGGAAAGTGGCGCTTGGTGGCCCAGGGGAAAGAAGTTTGGACACGGAAGGAAGTAAACCTAGGATTCTTCAGATGAGCTCTCTTGAGGTTCACGCCAGATGACGAGACATTCTTCAACACGACCCTCTCAGTGCTGAGAGAGGCAAAGTGCTTGTCGCCGGTTTTTTGTCATAGATTGGGAGTTGTCTTTTTGGGGGAGGTCATCGCGTGAGCGCATGTTTATGATTAATGCTGCTACTGATACTTCTGCTGCTGCAGCTGCTAAGGGTGATTGTGATGACGAGGACAGCGACAGTTCCCGTGACCACGACGACAACAGCGACGAGGATGAAGAATTGCCTGCGGATGGCGAGGATAGCCAAAAGGAAGCTTGCGATGATGGCGGTATTGACAAAGATGTTGCAGAAGAAGAGCAAGATGATGATTGTTATGCTGTGTTGATGGTGATGGTCATGATGATCATATGCTGATGTTGGTGGTATGCTGTTGAAGAACCTGCTGACGCGACGCCGGTTGAAGGACCCTAGTAAGAACCAAACCGGTAAGGACTCCAGAAATGCATGGCGCACAGAGCGCTCTTGAACTGCTCCGCAAGCAGCCGTGCTGCTTTTGCGGCTGCACCGCTCCGTTCTTTGTAATCGCCTTTGCTGAGACGTGAAATCCAAATAGCTTCGAGCGTAGAAACAACCAGCAGGATGCTGTAAGCCGAAATAGAAATGCCACTTCGCTGCGCCATAATTGGCGGACGCCCACGTCCGTCTTCACCTCACGATGTTGCATTTCCGGGTGATCAAAGCCTACAAAACTTCGGCAGGACCGTCAGCAGCACTGAGCCTTTATATTCATTCCGTCCCGAGGTGGGAGGCGAATGCTTGTCTATTGGCTCCAACGACTAATACCGCGACATAGGGCGACGACGAAGACTACTACTACCACTAGTGCTACTGCTACTACTGCTGCTGTTGGTACGACCACAGCTACTACGACGACGACCGCTCTTACTGGCACTGGCACTCCCAGCACCACTGTGACTTCATCCACTGCTACCGGTCTATTCCGGCTACTCTTGAAGAGGCCTCGTGATTCCGGGGACGAAAGGTCTTGTCAGAATGGGCAACATGGCCTCGGCGAATCTGGACAATAGTTGAAGCAGGGGTCCGTATAGTAAGGATCCGACGGTTCCTTTCTGTTCCGAGACTCCCACCTGGCAGGTCAAATTAGGAGGCTCACTTGCAGTTTTCGACACGGCCGTGCTCTTAGATCGGATCAGCCGTTTTGCATGGCACTGAGCTGGGTCTTGTTTGTGTACCTTTGCGGATCCTCCGGATTGAGGTCAACATGGGAGGTAGGGTCTCGATCTACACATCCACTACCCTGGGTGGCACACTCTCCGTGTCGTCAGCCCAGGCTTTTCACGCAGAATTCGTTTGGTACGTGTAGTAGCAATCACAGTCGCAAGTGCACATGCAGAGAGGAAACCTAGGTTTGTCATGCGCCGAGGTACAACCAAGTCAACTTTGGCAGTGTCCTCTCTGTTTTTGGCTCTTTGGGCAGCACTGGTCGACAGGTGGCGCCAAGGACCCCTGGAATTGCAACACCAAATTTAGTTCTCGCTGCCGCTGCTCCTGCTCTTGCTTGTTTCTTGTTCTCTTGCCACTACAGTTTACGGTTTGCTGCTGCTGCTGCTGCTGCTGCTCTTAGGTTGCCACTGCGACTGCTCATGGTCGTCGTTGTCATTTTTGTTTTTCCTTTCCTCTTCCTCGTCATAACCATCACAACCATCATCATCATCATCATCATCATCATGATGTGTGTGTGTGTGTGTGTGTTTGACTGCAACATGAGCAATGGAACAGCAAAGCCGGCACAGAAGAGATGCGCCACGAAACAAGAAGGTTTGTGTGGTGCAGATTCGATCCCGTCTTCACTCTGTAGGCCCTTACGCTTGCAAACTGCAGATGGTGGCAGGAAGCGGAGCAGCGTGTAAGGCGCCGCGACGTGCCGTGCAGCTGAGGTCACACCAACTTAGCCTCCACAGCCTCTGTCAGAGACCATGCCAGCGGCCCAGCTCAGGCAAGAGGATCCGAGCTATCGCATGCCATCCCCCTGAGGTGCAGCTCGGTAGTTCGTTCAACATCCAGGGCGACGCCATCTTCTTGGGCCCTCGGCTCGGTTTCTCTGGAGAGAACCCAGCTGACCCAGCTCTTTGCGAGGCGCCGTATTCTCCGTCCAAAACCACGCCAACCTCGGCAGTTCGATGAGCATCGCGTCCTTCGCTCGTTCAGGCAAGGTCCTTGGCTTTGACGTGAGCTGAGCTTTGGGGCGCCCTGGCTTGCCAGGCTCTACGATGCCTGTCTTTGGTGTGGCACGTACTGGCAGCGTGTTGTTCGTAAAGGATCTCCGCATTCCTCAGGTTTTGCAATCGAGACAGGTTGCTCAGGTGGCAGTTGGTCCGCAATCCGAAGTCTTCACCACCGAATCCCCAATCGTATATGTGTAGATCATCTCCATGATCCGGACCACTTGTCCGTGACGGTGACGATGTAGATAGCGGGGCTATTCACAGACTTCTAGTTTCCCAGACACCCACTCGGTAGAGGAATGCACCCCTACGTGTCTAGGCCCTTCGCGCGCTCTCGGGTCCTGTGAAGGACTTTACGCTCTCGGGCAGCTCCCTCTCGGTGGCGTGCTTCGCGCGCCCAGGGAGTTCGCTGCCCCTCTTTGAGCAAGCACGTGCGGCGCTCAAACAGCGGCTGCAAAGCCGAACATCCTTCGCTTCTAAATTGTCCGCATGATGCTTATAGAAAAGCCTAAACCTGCACAGCGCTTTTTCAGGTCTTGGTCCGATGCTGCCGGCTCCAGATTTCACACACTTTGGCTTTTTACCACTGGCGCAAAGTCCCTCTTGAGTAGGCAGTGCTGTGTTGACTTACGGCATCACCTGACCCGGCGTGTTGTTGGCAGCACTTGACCCTGTAGACTTTGGATTACCCTTGGTGCTGCGGACGCCTATCCGATCAGGTGCCGTGATGCCTGCCTATGGCATGAGCTGCCCCGGCCCTGCAATGTTGGCGCCAGAGCTCGCGAATTGTGGGTCAGCCGTGTTTTTGCGTAGTTTCGTGTGGCCCGGAAGTGTGACGTCGGCTTATGGCATGGCGTGTCTTGGAGCCTTGCTGCCCGTCTTAGACTTTGTGCATCTTGGCTTGCTGATGCCTTTGCGCAGCTACATCTGCTCTGGCCCGGTGATGTTCATCTATGGAATGACGAGCCCCGGGCTGTTGCTGTCTGTGCCGGACCTTGCGCACCTGGGGAGCGCCTTGCCACTGCACAGTTTTGCATGCCTTGGTCCCACGATGCCTGCGTATGGCAGCGTATGCTTGGGCCCTGCGTTTTCGACTCTAGATTTCATCCATCCGGACGCTTTGCCGCCTCTCCGGACACATGGTTGATTGGACTCCGCCATGCCCGCTTATGGGCTGTCTCGCCTCGGATCGGTCATGTTCGTGCTGGACCTCATCCATCCTGGCCTCATCACGCTGCTTCATGGGCTCGCTTGATTGGGAGCTTTGCTGCCTGCATACGGTGCCGCGTGCACAGGGCCGGCGCCACCGGCTTCGGACTTTGTGCATGTTGAG